GTGAGGGAATAATATACGTACCTGCTCATACAATAACTTCTCTGGACCTGTAGTCGCTTAAGAGTGCTCGGCGCAACTGGTGAGGTGAGGCGTTAGTGGGAACGCCGCGACTTCACAGCCAGCTTCGCGTCTCAAGCATCGTAAACATTTCCCATTCTGAAAGTTCACGGTACGGTGGTTTCTCTACGCTTTTGTCCAACAACCTTTCATATATTATCGGATTCACACATATATATCAACTCTGTTGGTAAATAAGTGGTTTGCTTCAGTTAAATTTCATCGATAGATGAAATCTGATGCTATTGAATTAATTTGTTTGCGGTTGAACTAAAATTGATTGTATTCTGAAAAATTGCTCTGTGTGATGTTGGAGGTGCGCTGCCTAGTTGATGTCGCCGGGAAGGATGGGCCCACGGGGAGAGGGCCCGTCCGATCCCTCCCCCCACCAGCGCTGCACTGATCAAGTTGTTGCCGGTGCCGCCTTATAAATCCTTCTGTCCTTGTTGCTCGTTCCTTTCATGCGCAATTTCTAAAGCACTTCAACACCAATCCTTCACGCTTCTGTATCAAGGATTCTAAGTTCTGTCACAATGGAGAACTCGTGCATAGGAAGTAAGGTACATTTTCTATTTAATACCGTGATGTATTTCCCGCGAGTGAGTAACTGACGGCACAAGGGACCCCAGCGACGGTTCTTGCCCTGGTTTGGGCGGGGCTTGCCGCTGTACGGACGGCCACCGTGAAACAATTACAATAGTGATAATGATTGTTGTGTGTTAAAGATAATTATTTATCTTATGTCTCGTAGGCTGCTCATGTCGTTGAACTTGTGACCGTTGAAGGTCTGGTGTCACGTTGTGCTTCCTATCCTCTTCGCTTCGCTCGGGTGTCTACTTATCTCTATCAACTGGAACTGATTTGATGCGGAAATGACTTGGCTTTTTCAACTGTTTTTGAAATATCGAAGGGTATTATAATCTGTCGTTGGTTCATTATAATCAGTCGGAGGTGCCGTAGTATCTTGATTGAAACATTCGCATTTCCAGTCACCTGTGACGCTGCTCCCGCGCCCCAGCTTCTCCTGATATCGTCTCAAAGTTTCGAGGTCTGAGTGCGCTGCTGCCTGGTCCGGTCATGCTACCTAATTAGCAGGCACTGTTATCAGTTATCTGACACTGTCGCCCGTCACTGTTACCAGTTTCCGACACTCTGTGCTGTGTTGTTAGCGTTAAGGTATACTCAAGAATATCCCGTCACAACGAGCACAAGATCGTTAAGAAGTTACTTAAAATCCCTTCGAGTTACTTGAATTTTACTGCTAACGAACCGTTGCTCATGCCCATCCACAGATATTGAAACTAAGTGCACGAATACTTTGATTTTTTGCGCAGAAGTAACAAAAAATTTGCGTTTCACAAATTTGTTTTAACAGGTCGCACGTTTTCACATAAAATTTACGTCCGAGTAAAATTGATTTTGTTTTATTTTGTGTTTGAGGTTGGTCCCTTGTTCCCCACCTCCCCCGCAGCTTTTACCTGTGGCGGCATTCGTGATTTGTGAATAAGTACCTGCAAAATGAATGCGTTCTCCATTGTCTGATATAATTAGACACACATTGGTTTATTATGCGTCTTGCCCCGACGTACGAAGTAAGGAGTGCAGCTGTAGCATGGAGAGCAGCGTGAAGTGCTACATGCCTCGCGTAAGATGAATACTTGTGTTCAGTGCTGTTCGCGTACGTGAATGTGGTCGAGTTGCAAATGGTGAAGTCATGCTATTCTCGCCTGCTTGTTAGGCTCACGTTTGGGTTTGTCCTGTTGAACCAGTAAGCAGAATTGCACCTGATGATTTCTTTGTCCTACTCGTTGCGTGTATGTTTATGCATGTCCCAAAAACCTTTGTTTGAAAATATATAATTCAGTGCGGACTAAGCATGAAATGTGTGTGTGTGCTGCTGGAGTGCTTGTGTCGTGTGCGAGAGTGCGATCACTATGTTTACTGAGCCACATCATCCTTCCAATATCTACCGTTTCTTCCAATGTCTTCTTCCTATTATGTTTCGGAAGACGTGAAGGCAAGTTAGCCGACCTTAGGAAGTTCAATAATGGTCAATTAGTGTCGATGCTAATTTCCAGTTGATAGTTTTGAAAATGGAAGCAACAATAAAATCAACTGATCGATGGGGAGTGAGACGACGACTTGTAACCAGCCACTGAGCGCTCAAATGACCGAGCCTGCCGCGCTTATATTGTTGACTAGCGGCAGTTAACGGAGAGAATTTGTTGCTGCTTGCTTTTAACTGAAAATTTAATTACCGATCACCAGGGTCTATGAGAATCTATCGGAGAAACTAAGAATTGATTTTATGTTACGAAAAATTATGCTTTTCCATTGCTTGTTCGCAATTATGAACAATTTTGTGGTATTAAGCTTATAAATATTGAACTAAATTTAGTTATTTCATTCCGGCCTTCGTTCGTTGCGACTGGCTTTGAACATGCATAGTCGTTTTCCCTTTGTTCCTTGTTTCAGTCGTTATTTATAAACTGCCTCGACGTTTAGGTCTTGGTTGTAGAATCAGGTCCAGAGTTTTACTTATTTACTTTCGTATAAGGTAACTCACAGCTCACTGAGATTCCATACTTGACTCCAAGGTTTTGTAATCATTTCAATTATGACTTATTCATGGAGTAAACATTATTGTTTTTATTCGCAACTGATTTTCCTTAATATTGTTGCTGAGATAATTTCCGACATTGGTTGAAAAGTAGAAGATTACAATGCTTATAATTAATTTAATTCTTATCGGCGCTACAAGATACCTCCCACTGAACGAAAAACCGCTGCAAACACATCTATCTCATTGACGTTCGGTAATCGGAGTAGTAGTTGGTATTTTACACGAAAGAAATTTGCCAAGTAAAACTTGAGCGTTCTTTATCTTTCGTGGCCGAGAAGCGAATAGGAATCCAAAAACTTAACGGAGTACAATACTCAGCATCGTAGATAATATTATTGGAACTATGTGAAGAGTATAAAATTAAAAAATTATATCCGTACATTAGAAGCTTGTACGGATACATCTACAGTGTAGATGAGTTTGCGATGGCTGTATTAGTGTATATATCACTGTGGAGCCAAATTCCATTTGTTTCCATATTGTCGAGAAAATTCGTTAAATATGTATGTTGGAACGTCATTCAAATGTTTCACTTGAAATATAGCATTTTAAACACTAATGATACACACAGGAAAAGGCCACAATTGGGGGATTGCTGTGTGTAGTAGGAAATGTGTGGCAAAAAGAAGAAGAGAGAAAAAAAAATAAAAAAAAGTATAGCGGCTGATCTGGTTAATGTCCCAAAAACCTTTGTTTGAAAATATATAATTCAGTGCGGACTAAGCATGAAATGTGTGTGTGTGTGCTGCTGGAGTGTTTGTGTCGTGTGCGAGAGTGTGATCACCATGTTTACTGAGCCACATCATCCTTCCAATATCTACCGTTTCTTCCAATGTCTTCTTCCTTTTATGTTTCGGAAGACGTGAAGGCAAGTTAGCCGACCTTAGGAAGTTCAATAATGGTCAATTAGTGTCGATGCTAATTTCCAGTTGATAGTTTTGAAAATGGAAGCAACAATAAAATCAACTGATCGATGGGGAGTGAGACGACGACTTGTAACCAGCCACTGAGCGCTCAAATGACCGAGCCTGCCGCGCTTATATTGTTGACTAGCGGCAGTTAACGGAGAGAATTTGTTGCTGCTTGCTTTTAACTGAAAATTTAATTACCGATCACCAGGGTCTATGAGAATCTATCGGAGAAACTAAGAATTGATTTTATGTTACGAAAAATTATGCTTTTCCATTGCTTGTTCGCAATTATGAACAATTTTGTGGTATTAAGCTTATAAATATTGAACTAAATTTAGTTATTTCATTCCGGCCTTCGTTCGTTGCGACTGGCTTTGAACATGCATAGTCGTTTTCCCTTTGTTCCTTGTTTCAGTCGTTATTTATAAACTGCCTCGACGTTTAGGTCTTGGTTGTAGAATCAGGTTCAGAGTTTTACTTATTTACTTACGTATAAGCCAGGTAACTCACAGCTCACTGAGATTCCATACTTGACTCCAAGGTTTTGTAATCATTTCAATTATGACTTTTATTCATGGAGTAAACATTATTGTTTTTATTCGCAACTGATTTTCCTTAATATTGCTGCTGAGATAATTTCCGACATTTGTTGAAAAGTAGAAGATTACAATGCTTATAATTAATTCTTATCGGAGCTACAAGATATCTCCCACTAAACGATAAACCGCGGCGAACAGATCTCTTTCATAGCCGTTCGGTAATCGGAGTTGTAGTTAGTATTTTACACGAAAGAAATTTGCCATGTAAAACTTGGGCGTTCTTTATCGTTCGTGGACGAGAAGCGAGTAGGAATCCAAAAACTTAACGGAGTACAATACTCAGCATCGTAGATAATGTTTTTGGAACTCTGTAAATACTATAAAAGTAGAAAATTAAATCCGTACATTAGACGTTTGAATACCTATCAGCATTTTTACAGTGTAGATGAGTTTGCGATGGCTGTATTAGTGTATATATCACTGTGGAGCCAAATTCCATTTGTTTCCATATTGTCGAGAAAATTCGTTAAATATGTATGTTGGAACGTCATTCAAATGTTTCACTTGAAATATAGCACGATATAACGACTTGGCCTCATAATTTAGTTTGAGCGCCGGCAGCCGCATTCAAATTTTCCGCGAGTCTGCCCTTGACGCCAGAGCCAATTGGAGCAGTCCACGAGTTGCTGATGCGTTCTAAAATTCTTGAGAGTTCAAAACAAATTAAGTTGAGTTGCTATCGTTTCAAAATTTTATTTTTTATAATCATGCATTTAATATTCGTTTGAATGAATCTTAATTTTATAACCATAATGCAAGATTTAATGGAATAAAGTTGGCTTTTCTAGCCTAATTCGTCATCTGCCGGGGTTGATACTGAACGCGTAGCATGCACTGTGTTTACGCCAAGTGTCAGTAGGTTGCTAGGCCGCGTCGTGAGAAGAGGCAAGTGTTGTGAAACTATCGCACCAGTGTCAGTCTCTGTGTGGGCGTCGTTTCTGTTAAAATCCTGTTTCGATTTGAGGCAGACAATATCATCAGAGAAACTATGATCATTTTTGGTAAGTTCCTATTGAATGAAATTGTACTGTTTCTGACAATTAAAGTTAAATATATGGAATTTTTTTTTGTATCAACCGGCTTAAAGTGTGATCCAATTAGCTAATGAATATAATTCATTCAATTTATACGGTAGAATTATTTGTTCCTACTGGAAGTACTGGTTCCTAGATATGGACTGCATGGTGGTAATTGATTAAATTATTCAGTGCAGTTCCATCAGCAGCACTATGTACGGTGTTTATTCACTGGTTATTTTATTCAGTGCGGTGTTGGTAGCACTAGCAGTCTAGCATTGACCATTGAGATTGAGGGACCCTCAGGGCCTCAGCCTCAAGATTCTCAAGCTGCAAAATTCTGACTAGCTATACTCTCATTGATTGATTGAGGCTTGAAAGTTGAAGCTGAGGCTGCGAGGCCCTTGGCCCCTTGTGGCCCAGGCCCCGGGGCCCGGGGAAGCCAGAACCTTAGACTTACAGTTACAGCTCCAAAACTGGTAGGAAAGCTGTAATCATGGCTTGTTAGTGCTACTGCTATTTTAATTAATTGTCAAAGAACTTGTGTTTTGGTTTATTAGAACTGTACTATAACTTTTAAGTTATAAGCCATGGGACAATAGTCTTCCCACCATTTCTGGATTTGGGGCGGTCCGGCGGTGCTGCGGTGGGGCTGGGGCCTGGAGGGAGAGACTCAGTGACTCACTAGAGAGGCAGTAAACTTTAAAGTTAAATGCTTTGGATATAAAGTCTGTTATCATATAATAAATATTGTCTGACTTTAAAAAAATTCAGTTTTTCAATATATCATTTGAAGAATTGCACTTACTACCTACTGTGAAATTTGTACCAAACCTCACGAAGTCACGACGACTACTAGTGAATGGCTGAATGTACTCTAAAATTGCCAGGCTTTAAATTGTATTGCTGGTAGTTTTTAGTGTGAAAGCTAAATAATGCAAAATTTAAAAACCCACAACATGATGAATTAATGGTAAATTAATAGTACCAAAGTTGAAATTAATATTGAATATAAAGATTAGATAGGGTTAATATGGAATAGTTCTGAAAATTATATATCTATAAAGTTTATTCCTCTATCAATGATGACAACAATTAATGAAAATTAATTTTTAATGGGTGGGTTTTTTCTATCTCAAATGTGCACAAGTCTGTAATTATATTAACTTTTACAGGAAATTCTAACAGTTATTCATTAAAATGGTGCTATTAAACTATTGACTAACCAATGTAATCAAAAACCAAATGTTATATTAATGATGAAATTAAAAGTGTTTAGTTGTGTTACCTTGAGCACAATGCACTGTGCAACCTGCTCTAAAGGAGATTTATGTAGTATTCAATATGACAAATTGATCCTGGTTGGCTTATCTTGATTCTGAAATGAAATTTTTCTGAAATTGCTGATTTGCAGGGTGCGTACCGATCCTGGAAAATCTGGAAAGTCCTGAAATTTCATTTTTCATTTTCCAGGCCTGGAAAGTACTGGAATTTCATTTCAGATTATGGAAAATACTGGAATTTGCAAATAAATAAAAAAAGGAAGTATTTTTCTGTGCTGCATGTGTTAACCCTAATTGCCACGGGTTGTCGTGTCACGCTACAACCTCGGGTGCAAATGATATCTGCCCTTAATTTTGTTTAGTATTTTTTAGGCGTCTTCTATTTTACATAACACTTTTTGGCATGCCATCCTGTCAAAGAGCACCTACAAGAAGCTCTGGAATGTAGTGCAGATGCTCATGCTCCTGTCTCATGGCCAAGCCACGGTTGAAAGAGGGTTTTTGTTCAACGAGGAAATCATGACGCACAACATGAAAGAACAAACGTTGGTTGCCGTGCATGCTGTGATTGATCATGTTGCACATGTTGGTGGCCTGGACAAGATGACCATCACCAAGAATATGCTGCTTGCAGCTGGTAGTGCCAAAACAGCCTACAATACTTATTTGGCAGAAGAGAAAGAGTAGAATGCGAAGGCCCAGAAAACCCAGAAGAGGAAGGCTCTGCTGGATGAGCTAGATGAACTGAAGAATAAGAAAAGGCGTACGGAGGAGGGCATCAATGCGCTTGAGCAAGCAGCAGATGAATATGCAGAAGCAATGGAGAGAAAGGGGGATTTGAAAATCATCGCAAAGTTCAACGCCATGAGGTGATCTTTGAAAACAAAGCAACAGGAGCTAGGCACTCTTGAACTGAACATTAAAGAAAAAGTTGATGAAATAGCTGCCAGTTGAATGTTAGGGTAGTGGTGTTGAATCGTGTTCTGAACTGTATTGACATTATCATGTGCAATATTGTGTGCATTACTCAATATTTGTTGTGATTTGACACTATTGAATTAATAATAAAAGTGTGGGCTTGATATCTAGTTTTTTTGTCATTTTTGATCCTCTGTGTCTGCCCGCTCTATGCATTTACATGTCTGCTAGTTATCAACTTTAGGAGATGAGAGAATATGCACGGTTACTCTTTCAGTCATGCTAAACCTGTCGTATACGAGTCCTGGAAAATTATACTGATAATCATGGAGAGTCCTGGAAAAGTCCTGGAATTTTTTTTCTTAATATCGGTACGCACCCTGGATTTGATAATGAGCCAATTTATCAAATATTATACAAGTTTCCATTCTGTACTGTCTCTGCCTCTCTAGGTCGAGATATTGGCATCATTCTTGCTTCCAATCAAGCATTTTTGGTTTCAAAATAACATTTAATAACTTCATCCATGTAAGATCAGCAGTGTACATTGCTATCCATGTTGTCCATTACAATACATTCTGCTATTCATAATTTTTGCAACAACTACCTATATATCCTGAATAATGAAATCCTGAATGTAATGACACCTAGAGCTAGAAGAAAACAGTTGCCTGTTTGATATCCTTGAATTTTATTTTTTTCCTTCCCAATGCTAAATAATATTTAGAAGCAAATGTTGGGTGATTATTTTTCCTTGGCAACAAATGAAATCATCGCTAGAAGTAATTTAAAACTTGAATTCATCATCAGTCCTGTTATCCTTAATACTGGTTTTACCTCTTGATTGCTTGATTGTGAATCCCAACTCTGATTGAAGCAGCAACCTTAACTTGCAAGAAGAATCTCCATTCCTGTCCATGACAAATGCTTAAACAAGCTCCTCTGCACACATCATCCAATGAATTGTGGGATCAATCAGCTTTCCTCTTTGTGTAGTCTTTTTAGCGCATTTTCTCATTTATGGAAAAAGATCACTATTGTGTTCAGCATGTCCTTCCTTCTGTCTGTCCATCCGTGACTTCACGTTTTTGTCGACGAGAAAATGCGTTCTGTCACTCACGGCAGTGAGTACTGAGTTACCAGTATATTTTTTCTTTGCCAAAGAATCTTTTTTGGAAATTTGTACTTTTTTTAAGCAGAATCCCTATTTCTTTCATGCAACAATAAATCAGTTTCCCAATATCACTAGATCACTATTACCAATGGTTTTTTGTATTGATGCATTACTTCTAAATTTATGAAAAGTATTATTTATATTGAAGTATTATTTTTAGAAGGAAGATTTTCTTATACTTCAATTCAACTTCTACAACATCACACTTTTTTATACCTATGCATCACTTTTAATTATTAATTTAGACCCGACAATTGAGCACAAACCATCTCAGACTGAGCCAAAATCATCTGTGTCCATTGACAATTTTACTATTATGACCCTTGCTTAATTTTAGTTCCTGTCATGAAGATGGAGCAAAAAACATTTTCACCTCCAGTACTAAAAGCACATGCATTTCATCACTATATGCTTTTAACACTAAAAATTTTGTCACTTGTTTGGATTTACTTGTTTCTAATGTGATTTTAAATTTCACCTGACCTGCTTGGCTGGCAAATGTATCCTAAATTTGTTTGTAAATATAGGTTTCAATGGCAAGCTTTCGCATCTAATTTTTTGTTGCAGGTATTTTGGTGCTTGCTTGTGGAGCATCGGCCCTCTACTCTCCCTCGGACGATGTTGTCACCTTATCTCCAGCCACATTTGAACAGAGAGTCCTGAAGAGTGATGAGGTCTGGATTGTTGAGTTCTTTGCCCCTTGGTGTGGGCACTGCAAAGCTCTCACTCCTGAGTACAAAAAGGCTGCCACTGCCCTCAAAGGAGTTGTGAAATTAGGAGCTGTTGATGCTGACGAGCACAAGTCATTGGGAGGTCAGTATGGTGTACGGGGCTTCCCAACAATTAAAATCTTTGGCATTGATAAAAACAAGCCAGAAGATTTCAATGGACAGAGAACAGCGCAGGGAATTGTTGATGCTGCTCTCAAAGCAGCAAAGGAAAAAGTAAATTTCCAACTGAGTGGGAAGAAAAGTGGAGGCAGCTCAGGGGGCAGTGGAAGTGGAGATGATGCAGTCATAGAGCTCACAGACTCAAACTTTGACAAACTTGTTAAAAAGTCTGATGAAATGTGGCTTGTTGAGTTCTTTGCTCCATGGTGCGGTCATTGCAAGAACTTAGCCCCACACTGGGCAGAGGCAGCAGGTAAACTGAAAGGCGTCATGAAGCTTGGTGCTTTGGATGCTACAGTTCACACTGTGAAAGCCAGTGAGTATGGAATCCAAGGCTTCCCTACAATTAAGTTCTTCCACAATGGAGAAGTCACGGAGTATGATGGAGGAAGAACAGCTTCAGACATCATTGCATGGGCAACTGATAAAGCTGCAGCCAATATTCCAGCACCTGAAGTTAAGGAGCTCACATCACCCACTGGGTTTGATGAGGCCTGCAAAGAACATCCCATTTGTGTCATTGCTGTCCTCCCACACATCCTTGATTGCCAGAGCAAGTGTCGCCAAGGCTACATTGATATGCTCACCAAACTCGGAGACAAGTACAAGCAGAAGCAATGGGGCTGGATCTGGTCAGAAGCCATGGCTCAGCCAAGGATGGAAGAGGCTCTTGATATCGGTGGATTTGGATACCCTGCACTGGCTGCCCTCAATGCCAAGAAAATGCAGTTTGCCCTCCTGAGAGGATCCTTCAGCAGCGATGGAGTCAACGAGTTCCTGAGGGATATCTCGTACGGCAGAGGCAGAACGGCGCCAGTCAAGGGAGGGGAACTCCCTAAAATTTCAAAATCGGAACCCTGGGATGGCAAAGATGGAGCTCTTCCTATGGATGACGACATTGATCTCTCTGATGTAGAATTAGATGACATTGAAACTTCTAAAACCGAACTTTGAACTCCTTCTTCCGTATGCGTTAGTCATTTCTAATAATACCGGTATGTGTTAAGTACTTAGAGATGTCATCTCACAGCTAGGGAATCAGTAACAAGAAATTTTTGTATAAATTATAAATCGTTAAGAAACAAGCTTAATAATTATGATGAATTATTTAACGTTTAAGTTTAACGTTTTTAGTTTGGATCCTGGAATGATCAGATTATGTATCAAGGTGCTCATTTATTTCCTCTCTAGAACATTGAATAGTTTTTAAAGATGCTCTAGTTTACAAATTACATTGGTATAGACTATGGACTCGGAACGGAAAATTTTCTGATTTTTCACTGTATTAATATGACGAAGCTTAATCGAACTTGAGAAAAGTGCGATACTGCGATTCAAGTTCAAGGCTGTAGTATAGTCAGAACTCAGTGTCAATAGTCATAGTCATGATAGTGTATCCCTTGGACGGTGCACCATTGGCTCTTTGCACCATTGTACAATGTACCGTGTACGTCACAGTACGTGCACGGTGCTGCTGTTGGTGCAGGACTAGGCCTAATAAATCATGATGGCTGACATTATGGCATACATATTATATATATTTTGGCATTTAGGTACCTTTTTTCATTCTTTAGAATGGGGACTCAATAAAATAATGGCAAAGCAGAGAGATTTTTAGACTCCCCCCTCAACTTCAAGGCTCAAGTTCATTTTTGAGTCCCATAAGTAGATCTGTGAAGTATCCTGGATACCAGCATTATCATACATAAAAAATTAGTTTAAATCTTTGGTAGCTACCTAATGAGGAAATTAAAATATTTTTGGTATTATTGCAGATTAACTACATCCAAAAAAAAGGGTGTTTTTTTTTTTTAATTATATGTTTTTTGGGGTGTAGATTACGAATCTGAAATCCATTTTTGGCGGTCGGCATCGGAAAACCGATTTTTTTCGCGACTTACTAACATGGGGGTTACGTAACTTACGTTACCCACTCACCTTTATTTACTAACATGGGGGTTACGTAACTTACGTTACCCACTCACCTTTATATAAAGGGTCGGATTGTTCATCGAAATTTTACAAAAAGCTCTTAGGTTGGGTTAAGTCAGCCAAGTTCCTTTTTTTAGATAGCATTTTGATCTAAAAGGAACCTGGGCGAACCAACCCAACCTGCGAGTTGGCGTTAGGTTGTGATCTCTCGATGTGGCAATGTATCTCCAGATTTATGGACAAAGAAGACGAAAATGTTACCCGTTNTCACAGACTCAAACTTTGACAAACTTGTTAAAAAGTCTGATGAAATGTGGCTTGTTGAGTTCTTTGCTCCATGGTGCGGTCATTGCAAGAACTTAGCCCCACACTGGGCAGAGGCAGCAGGTAAACTGAAAGGCGTCATGAAGCTTGGTGCTTTGGATGCTACAGTTCACACTGTGAAAGCCAGTGAGTATGGAATCCAAGGCTTCCCCACAATTAAGTTCTTCCACAATGGAGAAGTCACGGAGTATGATGGAGGAAGAACAGCTTCAGACATCATTGCATGGGCAACTGATAAAGCTGCAGCCAATATTCCAGCACCTGAAGTTAAGGAGCTCACATCACCCACTGGGTTTGATGAGGCCTGCAAAGAACATCCCATTTGTGTCATTGCTGTCCTCCCACACATCCTTGATTGCCAGAGCAAGTGTCGCCAAGGCTACATTGATATGCTCACCAGACTCGGAGACAAGTACAAGCAGAAGCAATGGGGCTGGATCTGGTCAGAAGCCATGGCTCAGCCAAGGATGGAAGAGGCTCTCGATATCGGTGGATTTGGATACCCTGCACTGGCTGCCCTCAATGCCAAGAAGATGCAGTTTGCCCTCCTGAGAGGATCCTTCAGCAGCGATGGAGTCAACGAGTTCCTGAGGGATATCTCGTACGGCAGAGGCAGAACGGCGCCTGTCAAGGGAGGGGAACTCCCTAAAATTTCTAAATCGGAACCATGGGATGGCAAAGATGGAGCTCTTCCTATGGATGACGACATTGATCTCTCTGATGTAGAATTAGATGACATTGAAACTTCTAAAACCGAACTTTGAACTCCTTCTTCCGTATGCGTTAGTCATTTCTAATAATACCGGTATGTGTTAAGTACTTAGAGATGTCATCTCACAGCTAGGGAATCAGTAACAAGAAATTTTTGTATAAATTATAAATCGTTAAGAAACAAGCTTAATAATTATGATGAATTATTTAACGTTTAAGTTTAACGTTTTTAGTTTGGATCCTGGAATGATCAGATTATGTATCAAGGTGCTCATTTATCTCCTCTCTAGAACATTGAATAGTTTTTATCTCCTTACTTTCATGTACAGTACAGCCCAATGTGCTCCCTGACGAGCCATCGTATTCTGTGAACAGTATACAACTCAACAAAATCACTGATACGATTGCGTATCGTACATACAAATCGTACTGCTATTTTCTTCAGTAATGAGCATAGTCTGCAGCGTCGACATAGTTCTTTTGTGTTCTAATATCAGAGTTGTGCCGCTGTGTGAATGACGGTCATTTTGTTTAATTTATGTCTTGACGGGTAAATTTGGCACTAACGACGTTTGGTTATCTTATTGTTGCTTGCCGCACTTCCTGTACTAGGATGACTGATGTTGCGTGAACTACATGATTTTTGTACTATTTTTACGTTTGATTTTCCTCTGAGAATCCTTGTTCCTGTCATAGATTTGAAGTACTACTATGAGGCAAGTGCCTGTTATGGCGCAACCCTAGAGAGTAAGTTTTGTTGATTATGTACAAACTTGCGTAGCTAATCTTTTCTTGATTTCATGTGCCCAGCATGATTTCATCAATATATACTTCCCCAAAAAGTTCTTACTACAATCAGGAAACAATTAAGAAAGAAATCTGGATATTAAAGACCAGACCCGTCGAAATTGACTAATAAATTGTTTGTTTGCTGCCAGCCGGGAGGTGCATCTTTTCCAAACGTATTCTACTGTAGGAATATATATATATAGATATATTCTTGATACTCAAATTATACTCGAGGCCTCAACTATTTCAGCATGCAGTTTGTTGCGCATGTCGGTGACACGAAGCGAGAAGAAAGGTCTTTGGGTGGAATTGCACTTCAGTTAGTCCATTGATAAACAAGGCCCTAGTTTCATATTCTAGTAGTCCTAGAATCTCGTAAAAATCATGCGGATACTCCTATGTTTCTATCCTGTCCCCAAGGATACATCAGTAACACAGGCTGGAAAGCCTAATACTAGCTAATCTTTCGTGTAATTTGCTTTTCAAGCCAGTAATTAATAGGAATATATGACCGCATTAAGGTAAAGTCCACGTCAAGGAGAAGACCAATCCAGCAAGGAGGAGACAACGGCAGGGAGGACAATTGGGTACTAACCGCACCTGAAGGGCACCAACTACACGTACCGGCATCAACAACAGCTGGGGGTATCGACTACACCTGGAGGCGCCGCCCCGCCCCCTGTTAGCACCAGCCACTCCTTGGGCACCAACATCTTGGGACATCTACCACGCCTGGGAGCCCCAACCACATCTTAGTGCAGTGCATCTACCACGCCTAGGAGCACCAACCACACCTTAGTGCATCTACCACGCCTAGGAGCACCAACCACACCTCAGGGCATCTACCACGCCTATAGGAGCACCAATCACACCTCAGGGCATCTACCACGCCTAGGAGCACCAACCACACCTCAGGGCATCTACCACGCCTAGGAGCACCAACCACACCTCAGGGCATCTACCACGCCTATAGGAGCACCAATCACACCTCAGGGCATCTACCACGCTCAGGAGCACCAATCACACCACAGGGCATCTACCACGCCTAGGAGCACCAACCACACCTCAGGGCATCTACCACGCCTAGGAGCACCAATCACACCTCAGGGCATCTACCACGCTCAGGAGCACCAATCACACCTCAGGGCATCTACCACGCCTAGGAGCACCAACCACACCACAGGGCATCTACCACGCCTAGGAGCACCAACCACACCTCAGGGCATCTACCACGCCTAGGAGCTCCAACCACACTTGTAAGCCGTACACGCCTTGTAGGGCTAGCCACATCTGAAGGACAGCAGTATCTTTTTTTCCGCTAGAAGTGTAGATCGATGATCAGGAGAACAAAACGTTCATTGCGAACAGTACTTCCGTCATCTCAACGACTCGGATGAGGACAGTACTTCCGTTTGTTCGTGAATGTTCTGTCACGACTTTGGAGCCAGTTGCTGTCACATGGCTCAGCACACCACACCTTCCTCTACAAGTATAATGGTTAAATTAACACTATCATAAATATTTTACTGTTTGATTAAATTTCCATAATGTAACCACTAATTCATATTTATGTAACAGCCGCTCATGCGGAACACTCAAATGATTAGACAAAATGGAAATGAACTGCACCCATTGATTCACCGTCCCCCTGACGAGTCCAGTCATTCAAGGTTGATAACAGGTTGTTCGTGCAAGACCCAGCGGTAATGAAGCCATTATGAGACAGTCTTGCAGGAGGTGGACAACAGTCAAATGATGGATCACACTAATACTGTGAGATTGATCTGCCTGTCCTTTAAGTCATCATCTTTAAAAGGTGTTTCTAAAATCTGTTAAGAACATTAAAGCAGCCGTGCTGCTGGTAAGTTGGTTAAACTGCTGGGAAGTTATAAATATCAGAAATATCGTCGTTTGTCTTTGAATTCGAAGTAGCGCACAAAAAGAAGGATTTATTTTCCTTTTTCCCCGTGACCATAACTTTTACAAAGTTTGCCATTGCGAAGCGACAAATATTAATGTTTCAACTGCAGACACTCCGTGCCCTTTATTAAAGACCAAACACACTTCTACTTATCCTATCGATTTGAAATTTTGCACACTTGCGTTAAGTTGGAGACGATGCATGAATCAAATGAGAAAATAAATAATTTTATAAATAAATGTTTTTTTTTAATATCAAAATAACTGAAAAAATAATTTTGTACTCCAAATCTTATAATCAATATTTAACACACTTCTAGCTGTCCAATATATCTGAAATTTTGCAGACTTGCGTAAAGTCGGAGACACTGCATGAATCAATTGACAGAATAAATAATTTTGAAATTTTAATTTCTTTTATGTATTAAAATAATTAAAAAATTAATTTTTTGAATATTCGAAATTAAAATTAGAAATTCATTGTACATGTTTTACATTGGAGACACTGGATTTTTTTGAAGTGCGAACTTTAAAAATTGAATTTTAAACGTATATTTTAATGGTTCATATTTTATCAGTTTATTATTCTGAACTAAAAATAGCAAGTAAAATGTCACCAGTATCAAAGTTGCCTTGCTAAATTCGTTAATTTGAAACTCCAATATATCATACATATTTCTTCTTTACAAAATTCTTCCTCGGTCTGTACAAGAGGAGCGCTCCAGTTAGGCAGATCCGCTCCACCGCGCCACTAACGCTGTAACATCGTCGATTGCTGGTTGATTACGTCGTAGGTAATGTCTTTAATGACGTTGAGTCGACGTCTAATGATTGCTGGAACTCAATTTTAATGAATAATGATTGGCAATGTCATTCGAAAAAATGCATTTTAACAGCGGCAAAATCAAAAGAACGGAAATACTTCTGCTATAATTTTCCCGTAAAAACTTCACGCTAACAAATAATAGGCAGGCAATGGTGATGTTATTCGCTGTTTTCCTGCGTGATTTTATTCCATGAACACTTAACACGTCGATAGTAAATAAATGTCTAACACTTTATGATTAAAAATATTTAGCTAATTTCTTGTTTCTAACAAATTTTGATACCCACTAATACTAGTGCTAGATGTGCACTTCCACGCTTTATAAATCGCATAACATGGAAACGTGAAGCTTAAAATATTGACGTCGTTAAAAAGTATAAAAAAAATTCATCGATATTGTGGTGGGAATGAATAGCCGCATTTTGCTGATGAATGAGCTGCATTTTACATTTAATTATAAGCCCCCTCACAGTGCGAGATCTGCTGGGCGGAGGAGACATCACACGGAACACCCAGTTTGCCATTGTAAAAGCTACGGTTGAATACATCAAGAGTACTGAATGCCTGAATAATCTCTGAAAGCTGATCAAGACTGCCCTGGAACAATATACTTCAAGTTAAGTAACCCATTGAAAATCATTTGATAAATCCAGGTGCAACAAGTGCCCTGTCGAGGGACATTTATGCAACCTCATAACGGACTACATACATACATTTAATTAAATGTAACATGAGAGTTCAATTCAAAGTAATGCCCTTTCAAGGCATTAATTGAAGTTATCGTGACCCAAAATGAAATCAGTGCGAAAAACAGTAACCCTTTCAGAAATAAAAACAATTTTCAGATTATTTTCAGACCAATGTTAAACTTGTAAGAAAAGCAGACTGGGTTACCAGTTTTTCCCGGTGCATTTTTGCGGTATATGCGGTATACATGGCGAATAAATAATCATGTGCACGTGGCGAATAAATGATCACTCGCACGTGGCGAATAATTGATCGCATGTGTATGGCGAATAAATAATCGTGTGCATGTGGCGAATAGGTGATCGCTCACGCGTGGCGAATAAATGATCGCTTGCCCGTGGCGAATAATTAATCGTATGTGATGGTGAATAATTAATCGTGTGCATGTGGCGAATAAGCGATCGGTTGCATGTGGCGAACAAGTGATCGGTCGCATGTGGCGAATAAGTGATCGTTTTCTTGGGACAAAAAATGACCTGTATGATTGATATAGCCTGTATGTGACTGATCGTTTGCATCTGGTGAATGTCGTATGTATGTCGTGTATGTGAGGTTCAGCTAATTTTGGGGTGGATAGCTAGAAGTCAGCATAGCCCAAGTCCACAGTGCGATTCATGTACCTTCCCGAGCGTAACGCAGCCGGGCATCTTCACGGCTTTTGACACAAAGCGCCCACCACAACAGCGCCGTTCAGTCACAGGCAATGAATTTTGGAATGTGAGTATTAATTATCGATACGCTGCCGCAGGAATTATTACAGATTTTTACATGAATTATTTTTTAATTAAAACCAATAAACGTATTTTTTAATCAACTGGGACACTCATAATTCCTTCAATACTTAACGGATCTGCATGAATTTTGGAATGGGAGTATTAATAATCGATACGCTGCCGCAGGAGATATTACAGATTTTTGCATGAATTATTTCCTGACCTAACCTAACCTAACTTAACCTAACCTAACTTAACCTAACCTAACTTAACCTAACCTAACCCAACCCTAACCTAATCTAATAATAAGTCATGTAAAAATCTGTAAAATCTCCTGCGGCCGCGTATCGATAATCAATACTCACATTCCAAAATTCATACAGATCCGTTAAGTATTGAAGTAATAAGTAATCCAGTTGATTAAAAAATATGTTTATTGGTTTTAAATAGAAAATAATTCATGAAAAATCTGCAATAATTCCTGCGGCCGCGTATCGATAATCAATACTCACATTCCAAAATTCATGCAGATCCGTTAAGTATTGAAGGAATTATGAGTGTCCCAGTTGATTAAAAAATAGAACCTGCCATGTGCCACTCGATACACTGCGAAAAAATGTAGGGTACATGCACTTTCGAAGATGGTTGCGAGTTCT